TTCTTTGATTTTCAAAGCCATGTCGGGTCTGGTCCTTCGTGGCTTCTTCTTTACAGGAGGACATTCAGGCTTGAGCGAAAATATGTGCATCACTATATTAGTATCTAAACCGGGCATGTCTTCATACGACCTGGCGAAGATGTCATCATACTCTCGAAGAAACTCAATCAACCCCTTATTTTCTTCACTTTGCAAGGCAGCACCTATCTTGACTTCTCTCTTTACCTCTTCAATACTGAGATTGATAACTTATGTTCCTGATATGGCTAGATGACCTTCTCTTTCTGTCTCAAGAGTCTTGATAGTTCTTCAGGGACTTCACAATCTTCCCCACTATCCTCGTTAGCATGGCCAACTGAATTCTCAAGTATATTAGGAACCATAGCACTATCATTTTCGATGGAGTTCGAAACGAATCTGCATGATTGATGATTTTATGTTTTATTTTAGAAAGTGCAAGAAAAGTATTTCCATTTTATTTTGAAAAGTAAAAGTAAAAGGAAAGACAGAGAACAAAGTTGTATGCGAAAGTGCGATTTTCATTCAATTTTAAACGGAGATCGAAACATAAGGGGCCCTTTCTACAAGTTGTCTTTATGCCTTGGGTAGGGCATATGACTTAATGGAAACAGAAAATTACACATCAAGGAAAACAACTTCAAGGATGTCCACGGAAGTCCAATTGTTGAGCTCCTGGTCCGGCGCAACCTGATAGATAAATCTGGAAACATCATCTTCACCTTCATCATCTGTTGCAAGCACTTGTCCTTCTTTGCTTGTACCAACACTGATGAACACTTCAGAAATTTGGAGAACCTGCTTTCCTTTGAGAGGAACCAAACTAGCTTGCACAGAGGATGATGGCTGATATCCAAGACCACGTCGATCTTTCTTCTCGGGTACTTCAATCAATTTTCCCAACCATCATGGGGAGATCTATCTTCCATGAGGGCTTTGGAATCTTTCAAAGAGGCCATAGGTGCTTCAGACTTCTTACCTTCCACGACAGGGAACCTATCAACAGAAACAATCTCCAGATCTTGAAAGGGAAACTCCTGCACCTCCCCTTCCACTTCCACATAACGGTAGGTCGTCAGATTATTAATCACTATATCTTCTTCTCCACAAACGACAATAATCTTATCATTTACAATGAATTTCAGGCGTTGATGAAGAGTAGATGTCACAGATCCTGCTACATGGATCCACGGTCGACCCAAAAGGCACGTATAATATGGATGAATTTCCATGACATAGAATGATAGATAGAAAGTGTGGGGACCAATCTTGACAGGCAAGTTCACTTCTCCCTCCACAAATCTCCTTGAACCGTCAAACACTCAAACACTCAGGGTGGAAGGCCTCATCATTACCCCATCCATATTCAGCTTAAATAGAGTAGCCTTAGGCATCACATTGAGTGAAGAACCCGTATCTACCAAAACTCGATATAAAACCGTATCCAAACATTCATAGAAACATGCAGCGCTTTGTTGTAGGCTCTGCCTTCAACTAGGAGCTCATCATCACAGAAACCCAAACAATTTCCTACAACAATATTGGTTACGATCCCTTCAAACTGGGCCACAGAGATGTCTTGTGTAACATGGGTAGAACACAAAATCTTCAGTAAGACATTGCGATGGGTCTCTGAACATAAGAGGAGAGAAAAAATGGAGATCTTTGGCGGCGTCTGGTTGAGTTGATCCACCATTTTGTAATCACTTTGCTTAAGAATCCTCAAAAGCTACTCTGCTTCTTGTCCTACAGAAGGTTTAGGCTAGTTATCAATCACTTGATTTCCCTTAGCCTTGGCCAGAGCATCACTGTTAGTTTCTTTGGGAGGCGGTGGTGGGGGAGAAAAGATCCTGCCACTACGAATCATGTTACTGGTTCTTGCAATGTTGGTAATACCCTTGTCAGCTATTGGGTGACAGTCATATTTCTTCAAAAGAATATAGACCATATTATACTCCCATGGAAGTTCCTTCGAGTTGTTACATAGAGGAGGAATAAGAGCTTGAGTTGTCGCGGGGGTAACCAGAGCTTGTATCATTAATGGAGTAGTAAGAGCCTGAATTGTCAACAGGGTACTTGGCATTACTAAGATGCTTCTCGAATAATAAGTAATTTCCAAGACATCAATCTCTTCTTCTCGAAATATCTTGTCTACCTGTAGGACACCTTCATCCATTAGTTATTGGATAGCCATCTTCAAACTAGTAAACTCTTCAGATTTAGAGGAACATGTTAAGAAAAAATCACAGAGTTCCTGCAGCACCTTGTGCTCCGACAAATGTTTTCTAACAGTTCCAAATGACATCTTGATCTCGTCCACCTTGGTTACCAGAGTCTGTTCACTACTTTCTTCAATTGCATTGACTACTTCTCCTGGGTGAGGAGGCATGGGATTATTCTGAGTATTGGGACCAACAAGGTTGAAATTTATGGCATTTACATCCAGGAGGTATTGAACTTTACATTTAAATTATTTACAATTCTCAATCGTGTGGCCTGGGGCTCCGGAGTGAAATTCACAATAAGCATTAATGTCATACCCCCTGGGGAGAGGATTTGGTGGGGGACCAAGTTCACGGAGGTGAACCAACTGATTGGCAAGTAGTTGAGGGAGAAGCTGAGCATAAGACATAGTAATGGGATCAAATATTCTTTCAGACACTCTTTGTCTCTGTGGAACTCTAGGACCTTGAGGTTGCTGATTTTATTGTTGATAATTTGGAGGTGGTATAAATTGTTATTGTGGAAGATACCGTGGTTGAGGAGTGAAAGGCCGTTGTTGGGCCATCCAGGGTGTTGGAGTTATAGAAGCATAGACTTGAGGAACATATTGATTAGGAACAATAGCAGGTGTTGGGAAATAAGGAAATCGAACTTGAGGATATGCAGGAGCTTTTCCTTGGTTGATGGTGATAGCACTAGTCTCACCCTCTTTCTTCTTGACGAAACCAGAAAATGGATTTCTACCAATGCTAGTATTGTTGTTGTTATTGTTAGGGATACCTTGGATCATCCCAGCCGTAATACAAGTTTCAACATGTTCTCCAATAATGACCATATCAGATAAAGAAGTAGAGGTACTGTTGAGCATGTGTTGGAGATAAGGACCTCGTAAAGTACCTATGAACAAATCAATCAATTTACGATCCAAGAGAGGAGGTTGGACCCTTGCAGCTAGTTCATGCCACCTTTAGGTGTACTCTTTGAACAACTCTTCAGATTTCTGTATCATCCCTTAAAGTTGAGCGCGGCTAGGAGCCATGGTAGTGTTATAATGGTAATGTTTCAAAAAGGCGTCATCAAGTTCTCCCTAAGTACTGACATGATCCATGCGAGTGCCCATGATGTCTAAATCTCGACGGAGAGCATTTTGATTCTCTTTAAAAATATCCATACGTCTTTGCTGGTTGCTTCTTGTACGATAGGGATGTGGAGAAGTCGTCTTTGTTGTTCATTGAAGTCTGATGGAAAAGGGACCCCAATAAGTTTTTGTTGTGAATAATGAATGCATGATAGTATGACTGAATGCTTTATCTTCATTTCCGAGGAAATCCAAAGACTCGTCTATCTTTTAAAATTTTCGTTTTCATTTTTTAAGAGCTCGACCAACGAGACTTATCTATGGAATTCCTTAGATATGAGATGTATATACATGATGGCATGATGTCATGGTATGCTATGGCATGAGATTTCAGCTCCACATATTCTGGATAACGACTGTGTAGTCATTTGCATAAACTGAAAGTAACAGGATCAAAAGTTCGACGTCACAGGCATGGAGTCAAAGTAACCACCCATAAGGTATATAATAGGGGTTTGTCCCAATTACTCGGTAATTAATAATATTCGCAGGAAAAACTCGTCCGAGTGCAGAGTCGTGTGACAACTATTTCTGGATTACTCTGTTATAGTCTCCGCACTACACCTAAAAAGTCCAGGAGGGGTTAATGGTTCTACGACCCTCAGCTTCTCTGGTTCCCATGTTGAAAGCAACAATGTCTTCTTGATTACTCGGTAACACAACACTACATCCAAGGGGACCTAAACTTAGTGGGGGTGTTGCACCCTAAATTTCGCCCCTAATTTTTTTAGTCGCACTTTCATATCATATTTTGTTATTTGGTCACAATCATTAGTAAATATCTTCATTTCATCACATTTTGCATCATTAGTCACATTTAAGTTGACCAAAAGTCAGTTTAAATCGAAGTTTGCATCGTTTTGTAGTTGAAAAATACCCGATATTTCACTTCATGCATTTCTATCTCTTTAATCATTTCTTGCATTTCTCCAAGTTGTTTCTATGTCGATAATATTAATATTTCGGTTTTACATACAGACAATTAAAATCAATTCAACACTGTGTGGAAAATTAGCGAGAAAATATTTTAAGTTTTCACCTTTTACCGATTATTTTATGAATCTGCGTTTCGCGTAGATTATGACGGTATGCTCGCTTTATTTTTTCGGTACAGTTTGAAACTCATTTTTAACCGTAAATGTTTGTTCAACCTGATATTTTTATTCTCATTTTATTTCGATTTTGATCATTTGAATATTTTTTCATTAATCTTTGAGACAGGTAGTTTATTTTAATGTGTTAATTTCCTTTTTCTGATAGATTTTTGTTAATTTTTTTATCGTTTTTAGTCATTTTGGGTCCCTATTTTTTTATTCAGAAAAAATAAAAAAAAATGTGTTAAATTGAATTAATTTTTACAATTTCAGGTTTTTACTTTATTTTTGTCATTAAAGGGCTTTTTTGTCATAAAAAATGTTTATTACACTATGCTTGACTCTCATTTGTTGTTGGCAACAGTTGCAGATTGATAAATTGCCAAACATAATTGTAAACTCAGATAGTCTTTTCCTTTTCATTTTTTTCCTATTTAAAGAGCTTATTTCTCTTTGTACATCACACAACAAAAAAAGCAACTGACAGTAATCCATTTAGTAAATGCCATTCTCTCTTAAACCATCTTCTATCTCTCCATGAAACTGACCCTCATCTCTCCACCTGCTACTTCCGAATCACCAACAAACCAACCCCCACTAGTTAACCTACCTTCTGGAATCCAAACTTCCTCCATCCGAACCTGCGATAATACTCCATTCCAATTCCCTTCGTCCTCTCTCTGTCAATAAACCACCATCGAAACTCACCCTTATGTCATGAACCAGAACAACCTTCGAACGCCATCAACTCAGCTGCCATTCATCGTCTCCTTTTCTTCCTCTCAGCAGTCCCCTCGCTCTCTCTTCAATCTGTTGTCCACTCGCTCTTATTCGTCACTCAACAATTTCAGATCACCACTGCATCTCCATCCGCGTAACCCTCTGTCTCACCACCGGCAACCAGCGACTAGCTCCGCCTCATTTTCCTTCATACTTTTTGTTCAGCAACAACACTTCTCCACATCTGTCTCAGCTCTTTGACAGTACTTACGATACCTTCAGCCAACTTCTTCAATGCTATTTGGAGCATCGTCAACAGCTACGGCTAGCTACAACATTTTCGACATTGTTCGGTAATTCTTCAATTCTACTGGATTGTTTAAACTGTGATGTTACATTGTTTTTTAATTAATTACTGAGTTGCTGAAAGTGTGAGAACTTTGTGTTAGTATTTTGTTTTGATTTAAGTTAGAAATGCTATGTTGCCGCAATGATATAATATATTGCAATTTTCCTGTATAAACATTTTTTCTGATTTGTGTCAAGTTTTGATATATTTTAGAGATCCTGTGATAAAAATTCTGCAAAAAAAGAAATTGAGTTGGTTTCGATGTCAAGCTGCTGATTTGAAAGTCTTGTGTTAATTTCTAATGGTTGATATGTTGGTGTTTTCAAGTTAAAAATTCAACATTGTGAATCAGTGATAAATTTAGAATAAAACAGTTTATTATGGTGTTGGTGTTTCATATATTTCTTTTTGAGTAAGATTGTTTGAACTCTATTTCATTTTCATATCTAAATGACTGCTTCATTTTGAATAAAAGAATGAATATTGTCAGTCAATGTTTGTGTTCATGTTTGAATTTAATTCGGACAACAATTTAAGTCTTGATATTGCTACTTGTTTCGATGAAGGTGACGATAATGCCGCACTTATTTGTGTGTAAATCTGACCGATAAACTACTGAAGACAGCATGCTATTTCCTTTTGTTACAAACTATGTTTGAATTGGATTTTGGGATATAATAGTTTAATGCATAGTTGCTGCCCGATTTTTTCAACTTAATCTATTGTGACTTAATTCCAACTTGGTTCATGCTTTGAGGTCAATTTTAATTGCAACATAGGCGCATGCTATTCTGTTTCTGGTTTCTAATAAATTGAAATGTGTCTTGAGTTTGTTTTGAGACTTTAAGTCAATGAAGTTTTTAGTTGCTGTCTGAATTTGATTTGAAGGTTTTAAGCCTACTTTAAATTAAATTTCTCATGTTGCAATGTGAACTTTTGATTCTCGTTTTCCGTTGTGGTTGAAATAGCGATTGCTTTTGAGTTTACTTTATGGAATACACTTGAAATAATGTATGCAATGCTTATTTTTTGTGTTTACATTGAATAATATCATGAATTCTTGATTTTTATTTGTGTAAATATTCATTTGTTCATGTGCATCATACAATTTCATTTCAATTTTATATTTTGTGATTACTAACATAGATTTTCATTGTTGCAATTTCATTCATTTTATTTTTATATCGCTTATGCTACTAACGGGTTTGTTTATTGCGAAGGTTTCCGAGAATTGTTTTAAGTATTCATTCTCGCATAGCGCATCCATAATTTCTTCTTCATTTCCTTTTTATTGTATTCTTTATTTCACTATTCCAATTTAATATTTGGTACTGTAAATATATAATTGTACATAATATTTTTGACTGTATATTTTATTCACTTGTAAATAAATTCAGGTTATGTAAATATTATTTTCATTACGTTGCGATTTTAAATTTTAATTCAAGTTAAATTTTTGAAAAGCGTACGGATGCATATAAGTTTTCCTGTGCTATTTGTTTTGTCTGTATATTTCATGTGATGCAGGGTTTCTTATCTAATACTGTGAGCTTTATTTTACATCTCAAATCTTATCCGGTACTATGAGCTTTATCCATGCTTTCCTTATCCGTGATTTATTTTCATGTGTTGTGCTATCTTTGCTTGCTGCTTGGAGTATTATCTTACATCTGGGTTTTTTGATGTTGTCGGCTTGTGTTTTGTAGCAGCTGAGAGGTGGAAAATGGGGGGGGGGGGGAGTTGGTGAGGTTTTAAACAATTTTGGTGTACTGATGTCTGCTATTTTTTAGTCAGTTTTTGTTATGTCTATATTTGTGCAACTGTTGGACTAATATGAATTGGTTACATGGAGGACTTTAGACTGTTGTAGCAGAGTTTGCAAGCTGTTCTATTTGGATTTATGGTGGATTGGTTTATAGCATGGATTGAAGCTATTTGTACAAAAACTTTGGTTTGTTGTAGCAGAGTTTGCAGGTTGTTATGTTTCGGGTGACATCTTTCTAACACTATTTTTTTCCTCTTTTTCTGTCTATGATGCAGAACTGTTGTTCTACTTTTATCATAATTTTTTAAGGGTTTGTTAGTTTAGGAATATGATGATACACTTAGGGTTTTTGTTATTTGATAGCTTGCTACGTTTTTATGAACTTTTTCTGAATAATTTATGTATTTGATGGTTGTTGTTATTTCTTTGTTTGTTTCAATTGTTTGTTTCTTTTTTTCATGTGAGGGTTGATGGAAAGTGAAAAGGCAAGGCAGAGCAAGGTTAAAGACTTGAAGGAAAAGCCATGGCAAGGAGTGAGGATAAGTTTCTTGAAGATGAAGCAAAGAAACTTGAAGAACAATTATTTCTTTCTTTGTAAACAAGATATTTATAACTTGTATTTCAACTTTGTAACTCTCTTTGTAAATTGCCCAAAAATGTAATGAATATGAAACTTGAATTTCTTCTCTTTGAACTTATGATTGATAAACTTGTTGTATGGAAATTGGACAAATCTTGAATCTTGGTTGAAACTTGAATGATATTTGAATCCCAAATTACAATTGAAATTCCTTTGATGATGAATATGCTTGATACAAATCACTTTTGAAAATAACTTTGAACCAAGCTAGACTTTGTATAAATTGAATGATGATGAACGGATAAAACTTGAATGAACCTCAAAACAATCACTTGAATGAATCCAAATTCACAACTTGTCTTCAAATTTAAGTCCAAAATTTCATGCATTAGAATGATAAGTGCTTGAGGAAACAAGAACGCCTTGATTACAATGAACCTACAACATTATTTCTTGTGCCAGGATTCCACGTTCATCAATTTAACCTTCAGACTCTTGAATTGGTGACTTAAATATTTCAAGAAGAAAACTTGAAGTGTGAGGAGATATTTGACATGAAATCCCTAACCAAATTCCTTTCAGTTGATGCATGTTTACAAGCCCAATCATGATAAGTAGAAAAACCCTAATTCAACATGATTTCAAATGAAGCAATGTAGAAAACCTAAGCATGAAGGAAGACATACACTTGATCTTGAGTTGTCTTTGAGGTAGATGAAAGAAAAATTTCACAATAACCAGGGATCCAAAACCCTAGCCTCTTGACAAACAAAGGGGAAATAAACCCAAACCCAAGGTATGAAGAATTTGAATGAGAGCTGGCCTAGTAACTTGATGAGAAAGAAATTTGAGATAACCATACTTCAAAACCTAATCCCACAGTCCACTGCTAAAGAAGCAACCAGAGAAATCAACTGTATTGAGTGTAGAAGCCTCAAACCACTAAAAAACCCTAGCTTGCACGAGCACTAAATATTTTGAACTGATATGTTTTATGGATGAATTTGCACTACGCAGATGAATCTAGTAGAATGTATGCAGATGATATGAAAATCCTAAGTCAGACAAAAGTAAAATGTAGGACAAATTTGGGGTATGACAACAGGGATTCATATTTTTCATTTTTTAGAAAATGTTCATAAATTAAATAGAGAAGGGGTTGTTTTATAGGAATTCAGAATGATCTGAGTGTTAGGGGTTACTATAAATCCTATCGATAAAAAACCCCCGACCTTTCCCTCCCCACCAAAAATTAAACAAAGTAACATATTTAATAGTCCCCAACAAAGCGGGATTTCAAACAAATAAATGCTCCCTAGGACGATTTCGATGTGCCCTACTTTCTTTCCTTTAATTATTTTTCCCATGCATCCTTTCTTTTCTTGATTGGTAAACCCAACCAACGATTTACAACAAACAAGTCTTTGCTAAAAGAAAGCAAAGCAGAACGGAACTGCATCAGAAACAATAAATGAACTTCAAATTTAGGGAGAAAACCTTAATTTTTTATTTTTTCTATTAGATTGGTGGTCGTTAGTTTTGGGTTATTTATTTGGGGCCACAAACTTATTTTCCCAACTATAGAAAAGGGTTCTTTAGTCAATCCCCTTTGCATACTAGCCAAACTTTCATGTATTTTATTGATATTTAGATACCCACCAGCACCCGCTAGGCTAAGAATATTTCTCCCTCTTTCCTTTATGTTGAGCATTTTATCCTGTCTTTACCTACATGGAGTAGACGGGGGTTTGATCTCCATCTTTCTCCTTTTCTCCCTCCAGGTTATCTCATATTCCCCTTTTGACTACGCGTTATTTTTTATTTTTCTAGGATATTTCCTAGATCAGGGACTGTGGGGTGGGGGTTATACTTATCCTTTCACTTACTAGGATGTTTTGTGCAAGACTTTTGTTTAGAAAGGGGTCAGTCTAGTGTGACCCCTAAGCACCTCTTATATGTCGTCCGTCTGATTTTTGTTCAAGCCTTGTTTTGTTTTTTTCGCTTCGATGAAGTCTATTTTACAAACCCCATTAAGCTATCCGACCTTTTCTCCGGTGCGGACATAAGCTATATTTGCTTAGAAAAGCTCACTACACGAGGGTATTCCTTGGATTTTATCATATATTATATAATAAGCATGAGTATTGGCATTATCTTATTCCCAACTAAAAAAGAAACCTTATGGTGAATCCCCCCAGGGTTATAATATTTTCTTTGATGCATGTCTGGGGCTTTTGCGGCTTGTGGTTAATAAGTCGTAGCCTTGTCCTGCCTGCCAACAAACAGCAAGCCTTAACTAGTATTTTATTCGGTGTTATCTTTTTTTTCTGGCCAACCTACCCGCGCTAGAGAGGCTTGAAAGATGGATCTAAGGAATTGAACTTCTCCTTTTATTATTGGGTATGTATCTCCTATGTGAATCAGAATCATGATTAGGGGTGCGTCAGATCGGGAGTAATCACTAGTGATAGGGAAAAAATACGGAGGAAGGACAAAGGAAAGAGCGATACCTACATTAAATCAATTGACACATCATGGTAGAGAAGAAAAATGGCGCACAGACTGTACTCGAGCTTCAAATCAATGTCTCCAGAAGCAAGGAGTATGCCCGTGTGT